TGTCGTACTTTTGGAAGGACACCAATTGTGTTGTCGGGCCTCCATCGCCTTGCGACTACGGTCCTTCCGACCTCCGTCACCTGTCGACTACGGTCCTTTTGACCTCTGTCGATAGACAGCGGTCCTTCCAACCTTTGTTGCCCGCCGACTACTGTCCTTCTGACCTCTTTCGGTAGACATCGGTCCTTCCGACCTCTTTCGACCGCCGACTACGATCCTTTTAACCTAGTCGCCAGAAAATGATATTTATGACATCCGTTGCCACCAATACGATCCTTCCAACCAACAACACATCAGCCAAGACCTCCCCCCCCCCCAATGAAGGGCCTCATTGTAATCGACTGAAAATAATAGTGAATTCATTCAAACTAGATCAGACCCTATAATTTTTTTCCCTTTTCAGTGTTTTCCAAGTAAAAATCTTAGTGTCTCTTATAAATATTACACCTCTGCTCTGTTATCTGATTGCATGTTGAATATTTGTACAAAGCTATAACGTTAAAATTTATATTCCTCTATCGCCGCGAATATCCCAGGACGCAACAAAGGTTAAGATGGATAAAATCTTTATCTTAAATATAGAATTGGTAGTAGAGTACCATAGGGAGCATCATAGAAAATTAACTATTGTATGCAATGTTGAATATTTATTTAATCAATTTGCTAAGGGATTTTGGACGGAACTTCCAGCGTTGTCCATTACAGTGCTGCAACGCTCGTCAAATTTATAAATATGAAGGACGGTTTCATTATTTTCATTGTGTTTTGTGTCTCTTGAGCTATGATTTCGTGATTCTCTCTTCCCCTACTCAAATTATTCTCAAATGGTCCCATAATTGTACGCGAGTAAGAAGAGAGCTACATCTTCCTATGAAAGGAGATTTATTTCTTTCGTGGTTGAAGAATGATATGCACAACTATTACAAGCAAGCAGTTAATTCCTGAGCAAGGTTTTCAAAATCTTGGAGGAGAGATAATGCAAATTACAGTAAAGAGGAGTTGGGAGACACTGTGGGAGGATCCTAGTGTGTGTGTGTTGTAAACATAGTGAGGGAATTTTTTGTCAACGTTAAAGGAGCCCATAATAACATTTGTGAGAGGTAGGGGTGTCAATATAGGTAGGGGTGTCAATATTTGACATGACACGAAAATCCGACCCGATTTCAAAACGGATTGGCTTCGGGTTCAGGTTGCCCGCAACTTCTTGCTCTCACCCGCGCGTGCCAACGCCTGCTCACGCCCGCTCGCGCATATTACTCGTGCCAGGCACTTGTGTCCACACCAGACCGCTTTCCTGCCGTCCCGTCGTCTAGTGTCCCGCCGTCGTCTTCCTCAGGTCAAACATGTCGGGTCGGGTAACCCGATAACCCGATGGGTCGGATCCGAGTCCGAATTTCCAACCCATTTATAATATCGAACATCGTTTAGAGATAAATAAAAATATGCCATGCCACCTCCGTTTACCGTGCTCAGTACTACTGACATGTCACATTCGGATTGATCTCCGAACAATGAATTGCGTTCGGCATCTGCACAGAATAACTTTTCCAAAAGATAAGATGAACATCTTTTTTGTGCGGATCCCAGATTGCATCCGGAAATCAATCAGAATGTACAGGTTTTTTTTTTGCTTGGTACTAGTGCTTTGTATCACTGTGTATGAGTGACGTGGCACAACCTATTTGATCTCCAAACCGTTCAATGTCTACACATAATAATTACATTTTTTGGGGTAAAATTGAGTTGTACTTTTATTTTATCCCTGTCAGATTATGAACAAAATTTCAAGAGGCAAAAGATTTTGTGAAAAATAAATTAATAATGATGAAAGTGATATAAAATTAATAAAAATGTTAAATAAAGCGTAATTTGTGTGTATATTATTTAAGAGAATATGCATATATTTATATCTCTACTATTTAAATTTCTATATTTATTTATATTTTTTTTTTTATCTCAATTTTATCAAATTAGAAATAGGAAGTTATTTCATTTATGAAAATTAAAATTAATGATATTTTAATATTATTTAAATAGTTGGGTGTTATATAAAATACATAAATATTTAAATATTTTAAAAAATCTATAATATGTATAAAAATCTCCACTTTTAAAGATCTTAAATTTAGCTAAGTATACATCAAATTTTCTTTTAAACAAACATAGAGATTAAATTAGTTTATTAATTTTTATGTTTTGTATTTATATAAATATAAATTTAATAGTCTTGAATTTAATCGTAATAATTTTTTTTTATTTTCTATATTATATGTGAAGCAAGATTTTTAGTTAAGGTTTAATGTTTTTTTTTTAGGACACTTATGTCAATTAAGGGAGACTTACACACACATCACATACACAAGATTCAAACCCAAAATCTCTTTGTTGCTAGCCTAAATTTCCAACCAAGAGATCAAGATGAGCTATGTGGTTTCATATTTTTAAGGATTTGTTTTGAGCTTTGATTTTAACATGGAAGCATTTTCCATGAAGAAAATAAATTTACCAATTTTATTTGCTTAAAAAAATGCCGAGCACTTCACAGAAATTTTATAAATTGACTTTTTTAATTGGTAAATTTTTTTGACAAATACAATAAATAAAAATTTCTCTGCCGAACTTTATTTGTAAACTTTCCATTTAAATCTATTCAAAATTTATTAAAATGTTCAGTTTTAAAAAATTTGGTCACGCAGCTCTTTTTGATTTGTTGGCTGGAAGTTTTGACTATTAATTGAGAGATCTTGCATATATGATGTATGTATAGGGGTGTCAATATTTGACACGACACGAAAATCCGACCCGGACCAGAATCGGAAATTTCGGGTTGGACCCGACCCATTTTTGGACCAGACCCGTTTGAAAACGGGTCGGATTCGGGTTCGCAGATTCAACCCGTTTGAAAAAACGGGTCGGGTTCGGGTTGACCGGGGTGAACCCGAAAACCAGTTTATTTTAAAAAAATTTGGATTTCCGACCTGCTGCCCCGTGCCCGCGCGCCACACGCTACTGCACTGCTGCCCAGCGCTCCGCGCTGCCGGCTGCCGTGCCCGCGCCGTCGCCCGCTGCCGAACCCGTGCTACCGCCTCGCTCGCCGCTCGTTGTCGCGCTAGCTGCCGAGCGGGTCGTGTCGGGTCAACCCGACAACCCACCGGGTCGTGTCCGGGTTCGAATTTCCGACCTGTTTACCTACCTGGGTCGTGTCCGGGTTCAAATTTCTGACCCGTTTTAACCCGGGTCAGTTTCGGGTTCGACCCAAACCCGACCCGTGACCCCGAAATTGACACCCCTATGTATGTATGATTTTATCCTAATTGACCTAAATGTCCACTAAAATAAAAAATTTGGCCAACTCTTAGAATTAAATAGGAACTGAGACAAAAACATTTCAGGACATTTGGTACTATCAAATTTTGGCTGAAATCATTGAAAATTACCTAATGCTTATCCAATTATATTATATTGACGATTATGCTTTCAAAAAAATAATTAAAAAATAAAATAGATACAAACATAAAATCAAAATTATTAAAACTATTAAGCCCAATAAACACAAGCTTGTGCATTGGGATTATGTGAGCATGATTGGAAGGTAAACCACAGCTTAAAAAAATCTTGTTTTAAATAATACGGAAAAAACATGAGCTCAAATATCACAATTAAATACCTCATTTGAGATGGCTTTTTTATGGCTTCGTTTGGGAAGTCTGAGTTTTTTTGGTCATATGAATCTAAATCCATTAAATTTAATTTTAAATGAGTATAATAAATAGTAAATTTAAATTACATTTATATCAAAATAGATCTGATAAAAAAAATGTCAACCATAAATTTTAAAAAAATATATCTTATTGTTGCATGTTAGAATATTCACGATAGTAAAGTACAAAACTTTGTGTCTTAGTGCTGCATGAGTATTCAGCTCACAAAGAGAGAGAGAGAGTAGAAACGCCATAATTTTTACATGGAAAATTCTAAAGGGAAAAACCACGAGGTCACGCCTAGTTGAAATGAATTCACTATTGTTTGAATATATTAAAAATGATTAATTCGTCACTGAATTTAAGGATGATCAGATTACAATAGTTAATTACCGGATTGAAATCTAGCGATGAGCAGGGATCAGACAGAAGTCTGACGATGGTCGGTGGTCGGGCTTAAATCCGGCGTCAGTTGGTGGCCGGGAAGAAGTCTAGCGACGGTCAGTGGCCGGACGGTGATCTAGAAGAATTATATTGGCAAGAAAACTATGATTTTTCTCCCTTACCTCTCTTTCATTCTTTGGTGGAAGTAAGGAAGAGAAAGAAAAGAGGAAGCAAGAAAGAGAGGAAAGAGAGTTGTATTCTTAGAGAATTACCTACTAAATTGATTCTCTGATTCCAGTCCATTTTAAATAAGCAAAATATTAAATTACAAATAGTTTAATTATATTTTTGTCAAGAGAAAATTTTATTTTAATCTTTTGCATATTTTAGCAGTTATATATGACCAATTCAACGGCTGGGAAAAATATTAATTTAACGAAAATGTGGTTGAACAAGCTGATCGTGCAAATTTAGCCAATCAAAGATTACGGCTCATTTTTAGCCTCTTACTAGAAAAAGGAAATATGAGCTATAGTTTTTTTTTTACAGTAATATTTAGATCAATTTAGCATGCTCGAATTATATAGATACAACATTTTAATTAGTAGCCAAAATTTATAACAAATATATCAAAATGAGCTGCATTATAAAAGGTATAGTCATTTGAATTATCCATAAATTTGCACAAATGTATAAAAAAATTATTTCAAGATATTCAGATGAAAAGTATTATTTGAATAAATTTTAAAATTAAAAAAAAAAAACTAAAATTAGTGGTTTGTTTGTAAATTTAATAATTTTAAATTCATATAAATTCTTTTTTATAGACAAAAGTCCAGAGAAACACAATTTCGATGCCATTGATGGCGTAATACGCAGATATTTCAGTTGCATCCATCCAACAAATAACCAAAATGAAATGAATATTAAAAAAAAAAGGAGGCGAAATAAAATGAAACAAAGAAATAAAAAAAACAGGGATAATTCTCTCCAATCCCTGAGGGTAAACTCCCAAACTTGAATCCATCTCAGGTCTCGCCGTCTCATTTCCCCTTCTCCGGCATCCCTGCCGCCGCCGCCCCCCGAGATTCCGATACAGAAGCGAGTTTCTGTAAATTAAGCCGGACAACCGTATCGGCGAAAAGCCTTGTGTCGTCTTCCGTATTCCCTTCCGGCACATCGACGATGTATGACTCGAGCACCACCGTCCACTCATCGCATCCTTCTTCTTCCTGATCCGAGCCTCCAAACTTCGTCACCGTCCTGACCGATCTGTAATTTCTTAGTCGATGCTCACCGCCGATGATGCTGAATCCGGTCACCCTCTGCTCTTCGTCGAGGATGTCGAGGCGCTCTATGCTTCTACTCCCCGGAAGACCAGAGATGACGCTGACTTCGCGGAGGCAGCCGACTTGAACATCCCCGCCTCCTTTGATGGCGCAGCTGCGGATGAAGTGTTTGTGTGTTTGGGGAAGATCGAAGCGGCGAACCACCGACCAAACCGTGGACGCCGGGGCTTGGATTTGCTGCGCCATGAGGGAGGAGCATTGACCGGGGCCAACCTGATACTGGTGGTGGGCTTCTATCGTCGGCTGGAGTGCGATGTATTCATCCGCGGTTAAGCCGAGCGGAAGATCGCCGGCGTATGCTGGCGGTGGCGGGGATTGGGGTGGGGATCTCTTGTGTGCTCCGTTTCGGTCCATCGCTTTTGCCCGTACCTGTTTTTGCGGATGGTGAAATGAATGGGGAGGGGTTCTTGATTTATATCATGCGGCGGGCAATGAGCCATTTTTAGAAAGGAGTAGTACTTACGTAAAACGACTATTATGACTGGCGTCTGCTAGCACATTTTGCTGATAAAGATCTTGAATTTCTATCCACAATTTTTTTTTTTGTTTAAGCACTAAAAAATTCAGCACTTGCTAATTATGTTTAAGCATTCTTTATATTATAATTAAAACTTTTTTTTTTTTTGCAAAATTATTTTGTCCTTAATATAAATGAATAGTGCGAAATCTCTTGTTATATTTAAGTGGTTCATGCGAAAATGTTTTAAATATTGAAGAGAGATTTAATATTACAATTGATATATCTTTAAGAAAATTGATAGAGTGATATGAAACTTGAGAAAATATTTGAATTAAAAATTTTTAAATTAAATTTAAGATTACATGAACTTCAATTTCAATTTCAACAAAAATTACTGCGACGAACCCAATAACATCAAAAGTGATCCAATCAAATCTAACACTTGAAGTAAAATTGAAAACATTAGATATTAATTGGAAGACCAAATAATCTCAAATTTTTACATGTTTACGAGAGCAAATCGACGAGACGAATTGAACGAGCCCAAGATTATTTAATTTCAACATCATTAAGACATTAAATGATGAACAAAAACTTCATAATCCAAGCTAGTCCAACTTGAGTCATTTCGATAGGTTTTCAACCTAATGAATTAATCATTTTAATTATAAACTCTCAAAATTGAAAATCTATTTGATCCTTCAATTACTCATATAAGTTATTAACTCATATTGTAAGTGCTCGTGTATTCATTATTTTATACGAAAAAATATGCTTGACAGTGGAGCTTTTGGTCGCCCGTAAAAAAACGCAAAGCTTATTAAATATTATCCTAATTTGACTTCGGAACAAAAATATGGGAAGAAATTAGAAATCTACCTTATGACTTACGGCTTTGCCAATCCTCGAAACTTAACGCGGCTCCTATATTGATTTCACAAACGCAACACAGATACAGCTGCTTATGACCATATTGTTGTAAAATAATTATTTTGCAAAAATATCCGTTTTCATTCTAACCATCAGATGGATTATATGAAGTTTCTTGTAGGCGCCGTGTAATTAAAGTCTCATAGGCTAATCTGATTTTTTCTTTTGATTTGATGCGCTTGGTACGATGGCAATTCAGAAATGAAAGATTTTATATATTGAAGCTTGAATTGGAATGCAAATTTATAATTGTTTTTAAAAATAATTTCTGAGATTTTCTTGATAAAATGAGAAGCTAGATAAATATGAAGTACTAAATAATCGGTGTAAGCTTGAGACAGCCATGATTAGATTGACCAACTTATGAGCAAGCTCATTTAAGAAGTATTAATATTAAATATAGGTAAAATATATAAAAATTCAAAATAAGTTTAGTAGAAAATTTCTAAAAGTATTTAGAAATTATATTTCTCCTTCTTTATTTTAATTTTTAGTTCTATTTTATTATTTTTCATTTAATTTCTTATTCTTTTTATTATATTATTGTTATAACTACTTAAACAAAAATAAATTTTTCTCTATTTTAAGATAAATATGATAACTCATTAGCCGATTCAAACTTTTAAAATTAAACTGGAGCACAAGTTTGAACTTGATTAATTAATCAAGATCAAGCTCAAGTAGAGAGTGCCACAAGCTTGACTCAACTCATTTGCTCTTCTACCCTGAACCAATTGAAAATTTACCTATTTCTTAGATTTTTTTGATAAAAAAAAGCAGAACTAAAAAATATGTGTTAAAATGCGAGTCAACTGAAAATGTATTCAGCTCGACATCGGAGTATAAATTTAATTCAAATCAATTTTGATTTTATTCAACATGTTAAAAAGTAATTCCAGTTAACTTCAAATACCGCAAAAAATTATATATATTCATTAGTTTATACGATATCACAATAGTAAAGATAAAATTATTTTCAATATAAACTAATTTTCATTTGAGTCAGCTATAAGGCTTCATTTAGGACAACTTTTTTTTTTTTGTATTTTTAGGACAACTTTTTTGTTGCTTTACTTTTAGGACCATAATAATAGTTGCTACTTTGCCACTGTTTTGTACTGTTTAAAAAAAAAAAAATTATACTAAAAAGTTACTATCTATGATAAATTTAAAAAGAAATTATTTTCTTCATAATAATTTTATAATCACCAGCTATGAAAGTTGCAAGCACCCCAAATGAATCCTAAATTGCAATTTCAAGAGTAACAATGCATTTGTTGGTTCCCGCCCCTCCATCGGGGTCAATTTTGTACTGTTTTAACCCTCGTATTCTTCATGCTCTGGGGTCAATTTTTGGTAAACCGTTGAAAATCGATGAGGCTACATCTGTTGGATCCCGCCCCTCCGTCGCGCGTGTTCTTATGGAGCTTGACATAACTAAATCTTATACCAACCGGGTGTGGCTAGGCTCTGAGAAATTGGGGTATCTTCAGGAAGTGTTTTTTGATGATTTTCCTCCTTTTTGTGCTTCATGCAAATGTATTGATCATGTTCAAGGGAATTGTCGCCCTCCCCATGCGTCAGTTCCACCTATTTCTCCTGTTTTACCTTCGAGTGTGGCTCCTGTTTTAAATGATGCTTCGTTGGTCAATTGCGTGGAAATGGTGAATGCAGTGGTTGATTCACCTGTGGCTAATAGTTTAGGAACTGAGGTGGTTTTGGTGGATGTTCCGGCTGGGTTGGAGTCTGGTTCTCCTGGGTTTAATGTTTCTGTTGATAGCCATGTGGATGTTCGGGGTGATATTTGTGATGTTGTTCCGTTTGTTGATTTGGTTTCGGGTGATGAGGTGTCTGTCAGTTCTATTCCTCTTGTTGACGATGGTATTAATTCTGGTCCTCCTTTAATTGAGTCTGAGGTTGTGACTGTTGGGGTTCTGCCTAATGCTCTGGAGACTCGGTCTTGTCCTAATGTCAAATATGGAGGTGTTTCTTCTCTCGTTTCTCACTACAGGAAAAATGGCCTATACCGAAACCGCCGGTAAAAAGCCGTCGGAATTGGTTTCCTACGCCGTTTTTACCGGCGGTTACTAAACCGCCGTTAGACCGCCGGTAATGTAAAACACCGCCGGTAATTTTGCACTAACCGCCGGAAAAAATCGCCGGTTTTCACTGTTTTTCCTGTAGTGTCTATTGCTGTTTTGGAATCTCATAAAATTGGTAGTATTAATATGGTTGGAGGTAGTGTAAATGCTGGGAGTGGATTATCTGTCACTTCTAATTCTTTGGTTGATGTCCCTGTGAATTTGATAGACAATCAAGCGTTGGTGTATCATGTAGGTGATAATTCAGGTATGGATGTTAGAAATCATCTTGATTGGCTGCATTGTACGTCTGAATTTGAATCCGAGTCTGATTCATCTTCGGATTATTGTGGAGGTTTTGATCCTGGCCATGATTTTAAATTGGTTCGTGATAGACCTGTTCTCTCTGTCGCCTCTCACGGGAGGTTTCGTGGGAGGGGAAGGAGAGGAAGATAGTTTCTTGTTTCCTCTGTTTGATCCCTTTGTTGGTTTCGGTTGGTTTTTTCTATGGACTTTTGGCCGTTTCTGTGGGTGTCGGTTTGTTTGGCTATGATGTGGCTGGGGCTCCTATCCTCGTCGTCATAGCTGGTGGCAACCATTGGGAATGTTCTTCGCCAGTTTGGATGGTCCGTGCTTGCCTTCGTGGATGCTGGGAGCCTCGGCCGTTTACTGAGCCCTCTCTTCGATCTCTTCGATATCTTCGTCCTCATTTTGTATTTGCTTTTATTTCTGCTTTTCGGCTTTTAAGCCTTAGCTGTTGTAACCACTTATTATCAATAAAATGTTCTTTTGAAAGAAAAAAAAAAAGAGTAACAATGCATTTGGGACTTCTGCCTTACTGTTTTTAAAGTTGTCTTTAAATACAAAAATGTGTAGTTTTAAAATTTTTTGTACTAGAAAGTCTCTTTAGAAAACAATAAAAAAGTTATTCCAAACAAAGCCTTAATCAAATATAAGCTGAAACAAAATAACAAATTATCAAATTAATAATATTTGTTTCAATCAAAATAAGGGTCAGCTAAAAAAATTAAATTAAATAACATTATAGAAATTAGAAAGACTATCCATATCATACTTAATTATAATAAGAAATTAATTGAGAATAATTTATTTCAAAATCTAAGACGATATGAATGTGATGAATCTAAATAAACAATTAAAAAGAAACTTCAGAGCTTCCATTAAAAAAAAAAAAAAAAAAAAACTTTACAATCATCTTCACTCTATTGGTGGCGATTAAAAAGAAAAAAATTACCATCAAGAGCAAATTCAGAAAGCTTATCAAGTGAGATATTTACTGGAGGATTTAACCGCCACAAATTTTCTTGTAGCGGTTCTAGTCCATTGTGATTGCAATGCGTTGTAACGACATGCCGCAGCAGTTGCATTAGTGCCAGGGAAGATATAACGAAATACTAGTTATAGAAGTGATTTTAACCGCTACAACATCAAAGAATTGCAGGGAATATATCTATCATTGTTTGAAAAAAATGATAACATATTAGTGGCGGATTAAACCGCCACATTTATGTGCTGGTGTGTCTGTTAAAACCACCACAAAATAATAATTCATAGTTTAGTGGAGGATTAAACTGCCACAATAGTCCAAATATATATATATATATATATAACATAATCCATAACTTATAATTCATTCCATATTACAATGGCCCGCATTTTTTGGCTATTCATGATTGATCTTAATAGCATAACTGCATAAGAGTTAACAAAATATCATCAAAATAAAGTAAAAACAATCAAAACCATGGTTCTAAAACCGCTCCTAACATCAGTTTTGAAAAATTTAATTTTTTGGTACTATTCATTAGAGCAAAATAATTGAAACACTAATACTACATATCATTCTAATATCAATGGAAATTGTGTCAGTTTGGGATAGCTTTTCTTTGTTCACTTTTCATATAACAATTATAATTTTATTTGACTATTACTTTTCTTTCTCATTCTTTT